GAGAGTGACCACAGCCCTAGGTAATTTCCAAGGAAGAAGCGGAAGCCATAAAGAGCCCAAAGAGGGGAAGATCAGAGACTGGGGAGCCCAAAGCAACTGGAATTGATGGTACAGCGGTGGTGAACAGAAGGAGCTGCAGAGGGACCCCTCGAATCCTTGGTTAAGTGCTGATCCACACTTGTGAGAGGAAGCTGCCTGGGGGCAGCAAAAGATCCCCCGACAAGCATTGTGACAAACAGTTCCCAAACCCTATACAGAGCTGGGAAGAAAGACCTTGGAACCGAGAATCCATAGAGAAACCCACACAGATGCAGTCATCTGATTTTCACCAGGAATGGCAAGGCAATCGATGAGGAAATGAGCTTTTCATGAAATCAGACTTGAACAGGTGCACACCCACATGCATAAGGATGAGCCTCGGACCTTACTTCTTACTGTAACTCAACATATGCAATAACCATAAACATAAAAACTAAAATTATAAGACTTCTAGAAGAAAACATAGGAGAAAAGAAAAGCCTTTAGAATCTCGGGTGAGACAAAGATTTCTTTGATATCTCATGTGAATCACAATTCATAAAATATAAAGACTGGTACGTATGACTTCACCAAAATTTTTAAAAAAATTCTCTTCGAGGAATGCTGTTAGGAAAATGAAAAGACAAGCTAGAGGCTGGGGGAAAGTAGTGACGAAGCATGTATCTAATGACGGATTTACATGCAGAAAACACAATAGAAAGAACTCACAGAACTCAACAGGAAGAAGACAAACCATGTTAAGAAAATGGGCAAAAGATTGGAATGGATATTTCACCAGAGAAAGTATACAGAAGGCAAATGAGCTCATAAAAAGATGCTCAGTATTATTTATATTAGAAAAATGCAAGTCAAAACCATCGTGAGACACTACTAAGCACACATTGTAATGTCCAATTTTAAGGGACTGATAACAGCAAGTGTCGGAGAGGATATAGAGCGACTAAAACCATGACACGCACAGCTTATGGGAATGCACGTTAGCCCCTTTGGAACACATTGCGTCAGCTTCCTGTAAGTAATATACATTTACCATATGTCCCAGCAATTTCTCTCCTGTGTATCCATGCAAGAGAAAGGAAAGAAAATATCCACACAAAAACCTGTACTCAAATGTTTATCGTAGCTTTGTTCACAGTAGTCAATGACTTGAATCTACCCAAGAGTTCAATGGCTGAATGGATTAACAAATTTGGGGACATTCAGGTGAATCTCAAAGCAGATTAGATACAAAAGACTACACACTATATGTATCATTTCTACGAAATTCTAGGAAAGGTAAAACTATTGTGATCACACAGAAGTAGATCACAGAAGTATTATATAACAATTACGTATATTACCTATAACAATGTCCAGAATTTAAAAACTTAATAGCCAGCCTTTTCTAGCATTATAGGAAAGAGAGCTTTTTAATACAATGCTGGTGGGATTATGAAGAGGAGACAAGGCCAATTTGTGTTTGGTATAAAATGTCCAAAACTGTTTGTCTGAGCCAGCAATTCTTCTCCAGGAGTTTATCGGAGGCTATAATTAACGATCTGTAATCAGGCTAGATTATATGAGCAAAAAAATAATAATAATACTCCAAATGTCCAAAATAGAACATTGTTAAATGAATGACAGTGGGGGCATCCGACTCTTGATATTGGTACATGTCATGATCTCATGATTATGAAATCGTGCCCTGTGTCAGGCTCTGTGCTGAGCGTGTAGCCTGCTTGGGATTCTCTCTCCCTCTCTCTCTTCCCCTCTCCCTTTCAAAACAGATAAATAAACTTAAAAAAATGAATGATGGTAAATCCCTAAAATAGAATAGCATCAAGTGACATGAAATGTTACAAAGGTTCATATAAATAGCTTATAAATTGACTTACACAGAAAATATCAATAAAATGCAAAGAGTAAACATTGTAAGACTACATCCTTTTATCAAAACTATAGAAAAGTAAAAATAAATAACAAAATGAAACTGTACTATCATATATTTATTTTACAAACTTATTCCTCTTTAAGGAAGGAACAAAAAATGTGATTTCAAGATGTTACCTGTCAATTTGCAAAAGACTCTACTTAAAACCTATGGGACTTGGCCAAAGTCCTATATTGAAAGGAAAATTCAGTATTAAATACTTTCATTATTAATATAATAACAATTAAGAAAACAAAACATTTATTTCAAAAAAATTAGGAAGAGGAGAGCAAAATAAATGTAAAGACAGAAATCCGATATTGGCAAAAATGACATTTAATATTAAAAAATAAACCCGGAAGAATGGAACATATATAGAAAGGAGCAGAGAAAATTGAAATTGTGAATTTGTGGTGATGTCCTGAGTTCTCGTTGTCCCCCTCCCCTTGGGAACTGTGATATCACCATGTACTCTTACAAAGTGCATCCCTTTTCCATTTTTAAGAAAACTTGAGCTGATTTGAATATGTAGAAAACCTCATGACTTTGGAGTTGAGATATCAAATCCAGGAAACACAATGTATAAGATAAATATTTGACTGACCATAGAGACGTCTTTAACTTTAGGCAGCCAAACATTGGCAAGGATGTGAAAAAAACAAAAACCCTACAAATATGTGAAATAAAGATGCCGAAATGAATATATATGTATTCATATACATATATGCACCATGTGGAGTTGATACAGGTTAATACTCTTACTGTACAATCATATATAAAATAGCATCTCTACATATAATAAACAAACCAACACTGTCAACAGAAAATGTGTGATAACGAACATACCAATGCATGATCAACATACTAATACACGTTAATCATCACTGCTTCTTTTTTGTAAAATAACACCAATAACCTATCTCTCCTCTCCCAGCTTGTAACAGGTTACAAGAATTAGGAGTAGTGTGTGGTGATGAGGTTGGGGGAAATGAAGTCTTGGCACAAAGTGCTCTTGGCAGATGTTTAAACTGGTCCAAACTCTCTGCTGATCTACACGTATTTGCTGACTCAACAGTTCTATGTGTAAGAATTCATCGCAAAGAGACACCTGGAAAGGTGAACAAAATTCAACATATAAGGGATCTCATCACATCATGGGTGCAGCGGTGAAAATGCAACAAAAATGACCCCCCAAAAAGACACATGTAACTAAATTCTGGTTACTTGGTACCAAGATAAACCTGACTGATTGACGAAGAGTCCCATGAAAAGTTGTCGAGATTTTTAATAGCACATTTTCAAGTTCAACATGGAGTCGAACTTGGTTTTAATATGAATGTATGTATAGACATGAAGATGTGAAGATAAAAGTCTCTGCCCAAGTGTGAAGAGAATTACTTCTTCTAAAGTGAATTTTTAATCATATTTGCTTTTGTCTTTATTTTCATCCGTTCTATTTGATATTTTTTTGTAATGAGCATATCTAATGTGCATTTCATAGTACAAAATTATGTTCACTCTAGGAAACAGGCTAAAAGGAAATTCTGTCCCATCCCTTAAAATTCTGAAAGTTTAATTTTAAAATTCTGAAATTCTGTCCCATCCTTTTAAAAATGTTATCAAGATAAAGAGACTTAGTTGGGGGAAAAACAGTTTCCCCAATAATATACAATGCTGTGAAGCTATAGTAAAGCATGCCATTTGCTGTGTTAAGAGTGGGTGGTCAGATCAGTACGAATTTTCCTCATGAGCAGCTGAGCAGTGAATAGCAAGAGCTTAGTAAAAGTTCACGTGCTTTGATTCACTTCCAGAAATCTAAGCCAGGAAATACACAGAGATATAGACAAGGTTTATGCAGAAGAGTATTGCATGCATGGTAAATTTATTTTGCCATCATGAATTAAAAATTAAAACAGCATACATGTCCACAATAGTGAAGTATTTATTTACGAGTCTCCTATAATTCATTTAACAAATATTGGTTGAGTCTGCTCTTTGACAGACCCTGGGGTCTAGTGTTGAGCAATGCAAATACGTCCCGAGTCCTGAAGCCCACAGCCCAGTGTCTCTATTGGGAAAGGCAGACAACTGGCTCATTCCACCACAAATAAGTTCGGTGCTATTCAAGAATAGTACAGGACACGAATGCGCTTACACAGTATTACTTTGTAATCAGAGAATACAAAGAAAATGAGGAACACAAACATGTTGTGGACGTCTATTTATTATCTCAAGAAGTGACCTGCTTGCCAAATGGGGGAGCTTCTCTGAGAGACAGAAAGGAGCATTTGTAAACCATTAATTGTTTAACAAAGGGAGGTTGGATAGGTGGCATAGAGCCTAATGCCAGAATGTTCAGAAGCACTTCCGTCAGAGCACTAACGACAAATAAAGATGTACCCTCTCAAGTAATAATTTAAATAACGTGTAAATATAATCCAGTTTGGAAGAGGGAATTTCAAACGTGCACCTCTCTAATAATGTCAAAAATAAGGAGCTTGTAAACTTTTCTCTTTTCGGTCCATAGCACCTTTAGCAAACACTTAATTTTCTTAGGGTTTTTTTTGTTTTTTTTTTTGAACTGTTGTTAGGGTCAAGTCCTTAACCAATAAAGCAAGTCTATGTTGTTGGCTGCTAGGATCAGCAACATTTTTGGAGGATAGGTCCACATTTTTTTAGGGATTCTAGTCCTGTCCCGACATGGTAGGGTGAACTTGCTTCGAGGGCACGTGGCAAAGAGTTATAAATTAATTGTGTGATCCAGGAAGTCCTGATGAAGACTGTGCCTACCCCTTGTTTCCAGTGGCTGGCTGTAACCATGGCAACCCCTTACTCCAGACCAAAGTTCAGGTGCTGTAAATCTTTATGGCCATGTTCATAGTCCAATGGTCGTTGGTATATTCCTTCCTATGAAGAACAAGCTTTCATATTTTACAAGAAGCATTCGACTCCATTTCTAAATACTGGACTCCAAGTGGGTCCAAAAGTATTATAAAAACATCTCTGTTTGTTGTTTTTTTTTTAACCTTAGGACCCCTACTTTCCTGAGAAGATGCCAACAACGGAAAAAACACTGATGTTCTTATCGAGCTTCTTTACAAGCTTCGGGTCATTCATCGTGGTCTGCTCCATGCTCGCAACCCCAGAATGGGTCAGCAGTAGAATCGCCATCAGTGACTCTTCCTCAAACGGTAGTCTTGTTATCACCTACGGGCTTTTTCGTGGACAAAGTCGCCAAGAATTCAGTCATGGACTTGAGGAATCACAAAAAAGCTTTGAAGGTAAATGATAAATTAATCTGAATGGGTGCGGTGAGACTGTGCTAGCTGGGTAAGACTCATGTCATCCTCCATTTGGGCTAAATAACTGCTCAAAAATGATCTCCTTGTAAGTGTTGAGATGGCATGTTGGTATGAAAATATATTTTTAATTTTGAAAATTCACCGCATTATTATTTTAGCTTCCTCAATTCTGGTTGTGTCTATTAGCACCACGGTCCAAATAAGCGTCCGACTTCAGCTCAGGTCATGATCTCACGGTTCGTGGGTTCGAGCCCTGTGTCGGGCTCTGTGCTGACAGCTAGTTCAGAGCCTGGAGCCTGCTTCGGATTCTGTGTCTCCCTCTCTCTCTGACCCTCCCCTGCTCATTCTCTCTCTCTCTGTCTTTCTCTCTCTCTCTTTCTCTCAGAAGTAAATAAAACATTAAAAAATTTTAAAAACAAGTAATTCTGGCAGAGTCTAAGTTTAAGTGGTATCACCAAGTCTACTGACAAGTAAGTAAGTAAGTAAATATATGTAGCAGGAATATGGTATCCCACAGAAGAGAATAGTAGGAGAAGTATGCTCCATTGTAAGGACTGTGGATCTTCTGCTGGAGTAGCAGCCTCTGTCCAGAACCTCATTGGCAGCATCTTTGAAAGGAGAAACTAAAGTGTAAAATGTGATCAAGTTCTTCTTAGATCTCCAGTTCGTTTCTTTAATCGAACTGAATTTGAATTTTATCTCCAAAACATCTCATTTTTGTTGGACGTGGGATTAAATTTCTGTTAATTCTATTTATTGCATGTTTTACAGGCATGCCTCATTTCCCCCCTGATTTCTTACATAATAATGCTCTCCTCCCTTAACGGGTGGAACAGAAAAATTCATGGAGAATGATAAGTTGAATTTAGCTATTTATTTGACTTTTGAAGATTGAACATATACCACTATGTTTTCAAAAAGTAAGAGCAGCGTTTGTAACTTATTTAGCCCCTTGAACGGACTTTGAGCTAAACGGTGTTGCGTGCAGGCAGACAGACATTATCATCCATGATACAGTCATTACCTCTTGACTTGTAAATGTGCACGATTTTCTGTCTTGTACAAATGTAATATTTAGGTTGAGTTTGAGCCTTAAACTCAAGCCTTTAGTCTGAATGTGAGCGTCGTAGTTGTATTTCCAGGTTATAAAATTTGTGTTTTAGATGTTAGCAAAAGCAACGTCTCCTCCAGTGTGCCAGTGATGTTACACCCATCCTCCAGCCCTGACCTCAGCTTCTCAGGGAAACGAGGAATATTCCCTTTGCAGCATCTAGGAGCTGAGACTTTCCAAGATTCAGTCACACATTCAGGATGTGAAGAGCATTTTCAAAACCAAAATGTGTACTAACTTCTGAATCTCTAGACATATTTTAAATTTTTTTTTTTTAATATGAGCTAGCAGCCTGTGAAGCTTTTGATTTTCATGCTGTGTCTGTTTGGAAATCAGTTGGCTCCAATCAGTTGGCTTCAGCGAGAGCACTGGTTACCTGTATCAGGGAAGCTCGGAGGAGGCAAGGGTGGGCCCCAGCCATGCTCTGAAGCCCTGTGTGGGGGAAGTGGGCACCGTGGTGTGGAGAAGGCAGGACGAGGCGCAGGCTAGGACAATCCTGAAGGCTCAGGACTGACTATTTGCATTTGCTTTGTTTGGCTCTCTGCTCTCACTCTTTGATACCACAGAGCCACGTTCCAATGTTGTGAAGTCACTGCCAGGCTCTAGGTGCTGCAGAAGATAAACCACGTCATGGTCAGTGAAGGTACACAGTTCAACTGCTCTGGCTGACAGCTGCTAAGGGCTCCCCAGAGCCTACGGGGGCTGATGGTTTTTACAATCCTTGAACTTGGAACACTTGTAAACAGTTCTCTAAGTAGGGAAAAGTCATGTAACCAGGACGTATATTTCAGTGTTCAGCTGCCGCAGACCCATGGATGTTTTCCCTGGGGAGCAGAATTGGAGACTGAGGTAAGGCTGCTGCCCTGCTGGTTTCTCATGACCATCTGGGGCTCATCTCAAGTCAGCAACCAATCACTGGCAATATAATAAGATCTGTACAAATGCCACTTCCTTCCCCAGCAGTGATGGGCTAACAATTCTGTTTAAGATGCTAACCACGTCAGCCTCTTGGCCAGGATGAGGTCACACTAAAGATCTCCAAAGAGTGGTTAATATTGCCAGGCTCTGCTATAGTTCCACATGGGATAGGTCATACAGCGTCGATTGGGGCTGTAGACTGAAATGACAGCACAGCATGAAGGGACAATGGCTGATTTCGACACACCGGAAGAATCCAGCCACCGATACGTCAGCTTGGAAAGCAAACTTCCAGCCTGACCGTATCTACTAGCTTCATCTGGTGGTATCTTGGTTTGTTCAATAGCCAGATGAAAAGTTACAGCCCTGAGTCTACCAGTAAGCACTTTGCTCTTGCTACTCCAGAATTTCTGGATATTGAGTTTCAGTCCAAAACACTTCCCTGAGCAGCTGCTCCATGAGGGAGAGGCTGGGATACGAGAGGCATTGTTCATGGCTCCTGGCCTTGGTGAGCTCACCCGGCTTCCACCTAGAGAAAGGCCCCCGCAAGTTAAGTCAGAGGGTGCAGGTTGCTGTAAGAGCAGGGGAGAGTTTCGCCCAATCTGCAATTGGCTCCCTCCTCCACCAAAAATTGACCCGCCAATCTCTTTTCTCCACCCACCCAGTTTGTTCTCAGGGAACCCAAAATGGTACTATTTGGTACCAAATGAACAATAAACAGAAAAGTAAATCTGTTGCAAAAATCAATGAATTGCAGGGAGATGAATAAAAGAGGCTTATTTCTTCCTTAATACTCATACTTTTCCAGTCCCAACCCATATACACCTATACTTTTCCAAGGAGGAGTAACTTATCACTTGTCCCCAGAGACAAGACCACGTTGGGTGAAGGAGCATCATGGTGGAAAAGACCTTCTCCCTCCTTCTCCCCGAGAGAGCCCAGATACATTTCCCAGAGGCTGGGCATGCCCACTTGGACTCCGTGGAAGATTTCAATGGCCCAGCTTGCCAGGGGTACACAGTGGTCCACAGGCCGAGGCGTCCACCAGGCCAGGCTCCCTGACGACCAGGTGCTTGAGGAGCGGGTGGAAGCAGTTCCCACCACCCACAAAGCCACTGGCTCTCCCCTGAGTTCTGAGGACTTCAGGAAAACCAGAGCGAGAGGGACCAGATGGCTGGTGGGTCCCGAAGGGTTAAAGCTCCAGGCACAGAAAGCCCCGATGTCCAAGTGACCCATTTCTGCACACTGCCCACAGCCCCCAGCACATTTCTGCCTCCCAGCTGTGGGAGCCGTGGCCTCTTTCCTGAGGTGGCCAGAATCCGGTTGATTAGTTCCAATTGTGAGGTGGTTTTCCTGATTCCAATGCTTGGCCCTAAAAAGGAAGAGAAAAGAACGGAATGTATTTGCTAATTTTGTAGGCAGGGAGCAGCTGTCAGATGCGATGGGGGTTTATTCTATTTCATTCTTGCTAACTTTCCCCGAATTTCCAGCTTTCATTGTCTGCGTTCTGGGCCAGGGGGGAGCTGGGAAATACAGCTGTCATACCTGTGTGGCAGGATATTCAGATGCTGAAATAGAATTTTAAAATACGGCAGTTAAAATTAAGATAAATTGCTACATCAACACAAAGAGAAGTCTGAGTCAGTAGGCTCCAAATTGACTCCCTTTTGAAAAATCGTGTCTGTTAGATCTTACCAACAGTCAAAAACAAAGCCTAACCTGTCACTTTCTAGTTTACTCTGAAAAAGTGGGATGCTCACTGGTTGCAAATACACGTCCATTTACAGCTTTTAATATGTGTATAGAGCAGAGCTATTCTCTAGGGCACCTCAGAGATGACATTTTCCCCACACTGAAATGTCTTCTTTTCTAGTTAAGTATCCACAAGAGTTCTTATTGGCTAAACACAGAGTTCATTCGGTCCCCAGCACACTTCTGGTTAGACCTTCAGCTTCCTCCTTGGTGCCCAGGGAGGAGCAATTCTTCCTCATGGAGACAGCTGGGAGCTCCCCAGAGTCTGCACCCTGAGCAGGTGTGCCCTACCTCCTGATTTTCCCCCTACTCCGGCTCTGGGCTCATCATCCGCCAGGTGTGAAACCCGGGTGTGCCACACGAGAGCAACGAAAATCCCGGTCGCGGCATCTCCACGGCGAGCCCAACAGGCAAGAGTCTTTGTCTGAGCTCAGGGCCTGCAGAACAGGCCTCCCCAGGGGCCCCCCTGGAGGGCAGGTGGTGCCCCAAGGGCGGGTGGCCCTTCAGACCCTGGCCACCCCCACCCAGGCAATAGGTGGCAACAGGCAGGACTAGAAGTTTAGTTTAACCTATGTCATTAGATTTCTAAGCTGGGATGCGTCACACACAGAGCTGTGCTGAGCACTTGGCCCTGCCCATGGGTCATTAGCAGAAGCCCGGGGACCATTGGGTACGAGGTGACGGACGTGTGCGAGGTGAACTTTGCCCTCAGGCCCGCCTCTCACCAAGGAGCAAAATGTCCTCTAGCCAAGGGCGGTGACGCCATCGTGTCCATGTTGCAGGGCTGGGAAGTCCCCTCTTCTGCCCTCTGTGTTCTCCCTCGGGGCTCCCCGGGATGCCACGGGGCCGGCATTCATGTCTCCGCTCTTCTTTTCACCAGTTTGGTATCTGCAGCCTCTCTCTGTCCACTGTCCAGTGACAGAGTAACTGCTGATTAACGACGACAAGAAATCTGAATTAACAATGTAGATAGACGTTCAGAACCGGAGAGAGCAGAGAGCCGGTCCAGGTCGCCCCGGCTCTGACCGGGACAGCTGTGCCCTTCTGGCCAGCGTGTTTCGAAGCTTGGAGTCAGAGTAAAGCATGCACAGAGCTGGGAGCAGGCAGGAAGGAGCTTTGGAATCACGCCTTACAGAGAACATTCCAGAGATGTGGGCTGTTCATCCCATTGGGGTTTCTATCTCTTCTCAAACACGTGGAAAGGCTGCCGGGCAGAGCGGAGCAAGCAGGTTCCGTGTTGCTCCGGAGGAAGGGGAAAGACTCTGGGCGGAAGTCCTGGAGAAGCACAACACAATGAAGAGACTTTAAATAATGGAGGCGACAGAGCGATGGGAAGGAGCACCTTGCAGAGAGGGGGTCCCTGCTGCCAGGGTGCACGTAAGGACGGCCTGGCCTCTCCTCCCTGGTGGGCACAGGGCCCTGGGGCTTCTGTTCTTTGAAGGACTGTGGACCAGAGACAGACATAAGGAGCCCCCCAGCCCAGGGACAAGCGATCTTTCCTGGCCTTTCTGGTTTCTGTTCTTTAAAGCTGCTCTGCGGTGAGGCTGTGAGTGGCTCCCGGGCTCTCCCAGGGGCCTGAGAAACAGGAATGGAAAGAAGAAGGCTTTTACTTTCTCTTACCAGCCCCCTCATCACGGTTCTCACATCCAGCAGCTCCCAATGACTCTGTTAGCATGTTACTAGGAACTGGGACATCTTCTCCCCTGATGACTTTTTCTGTACTTCACCGTGTCTTTCACGGAACATCTTGGTAAACACTTTAGTTAATGTGATGGCAGTCACTCAAGGCCCTAAAACATACCGGCCGCCTTTGGAGACGTTTTGTAAATGCATGGCTGGGGTGACAGGTAAGCGTGGGGACAGCCCGCCTCTGGCGTCTGGTCATCTGGTGTCATGAACAAAGCAGAGAGCAGAGGAAGCAGGCGGATGGGGAGAGTGGCTGGTTGCGGTTACAAACAGCAGGCTGGTAAAAGCAGGAACTGATGGCGAACAGCCCAGGGCATCTGTGTTTCATCTGGCACAAGTGTGTGTTCATGTCTGGAGCCCCTTTGCACCTACGAGATACACATGTTTTATAAAATGCTGTTAGAACTCAGAGGAATTCAGCTCGGACAGAATTTTGATGGTTCACCCAAGGTCCACCCTCGGTATGCATTCGAGTCGTGTGGGCCCTGGGTGCTCTCTGGAGCTGGGGAAGGGAAGGTGGGAAGTGCAGAGACCCCTCCCTTACGCACAGCCGGTCACCCGCCTGTCTCCGGGGCCAGCCGCTTGGTCACCATCGGCCCCTCCCCTCCTGTAATGGGCTGAGCTCCAAAATCTCAGTGTTTACCGGATCCTCTCTGTCATAGCTTTTCAGAGTGGCCCCCTGTAAGTGTCCCCAAGTGGAAGCATAGTAGTGCTCCAAGCGAAGGGGATGCTGTCGGTGACAATTATGCCTGCTGGTGAGCGTCTGAGGCCAGAATGCACTGAAGGAGGTTGTCCAGCCCTGGAGCAGCTTTATCCAGGAGGACACCCTCCTCTCTTGGGTAAATTGAAGTTGGGATGGTCCTGTGGTTACACACATTCAAGGGGGCCTGAGTGTCCGAGGGCCCGCCCCTTCCCGCTCCCGCGCACCCAGATGCCCTCTGCAGTTCTAATCCTGGTGCCCAAGCGGACTGAGTGCAGAGAGCCGCCGGGGTGGCAGGGAGTAGCCATCTGTCTATAGGGCTGGTGTTTGCATTCTGTGCTCCGTGCTGACCAAACTCTGCTTTAGTTCTAGAGAAGCTGAACAGTTCTTCCCAAAGAACTCTGCACCTGCTGGTTATCCTGCTCTTGGCGCTCAGCCTGTGTGCTTCGCTGCTGAGTTCTGGCTTCACCTTCTACAACAGCATCAGCAACCCCTACCAGACGTTCCTGGGGCCCGTGGGCGTGTACACCTGGAGCGGCCTTGCTGGTGAGTGTGGCCGGGGGCACCCGGTGCCCTGTGGCGTCTCGGCCGCGTGAGCACATGCGGTCACAGCCCAGCCATAGAAACTAAGGACACCTAGTACGTGCCAAGTTGTGTGCTGCGGGCGGGGGGTTTCTTTTTGCCAATCTATGGCGCTATTAAGCATCCTTGGAAATAAAATGGTTTTAAGTGCACTGATGAGAGGCAGGGATCCAGATGAGGGCAGGGTGTTACGTGTTAACATATATAACAGATGCCAGTCTCTGCTTCCGAGTACAGAATGTAAGGAGTTAAACAGGATGCTCTGAAATCAACAAAACATTCACCTGCGACAACAAAACTCCTGCTGTGTATTTAACTCCAAGTGAGGTTCCATATAGCACATAGAGGTGCACACACACACATGCACATACATACACAGGTGTGCACACACACACAGATGTACACACACAGAGGTGTCTGCATGCATGCACACACACACAGGTGTGCACATACATACACAGGTGTGCATACATGAACATGCATACACGGGTGCACACACATACACACATGCATACTTCTGCATGCATGCACACAAACACGTGCACACATACATGCATGCACACGTGTGCACACACATGCACAGGTGTGCGTACATGCACCGACACACACAAACATACAGTGCACACATGCATACACAGATGCACATGCACAAAGATGTACACATGTGCACACGTACACACATGCACACACTTATTTACTCTCCTCCTCCCCTCCAAGTAACAGTCTGCATGGACTAGAACCCAGACATGACACATCTTCATGGCTGTGCCACAGAGAACCGCAAAGAAGGTCATTTAGAGAATCTGGGGCCAACACCCTTCTTGGGGGCGACGTGTGAGCCCCGGCTGATTCTCTGTGGTGTGACTCACTTATTTTACTTGTTTTCTGGTCCAGCCTGGGGTGGGGGGTGCAGTGCAGAAGGGAAGTGGGCCCAGCCTGAGTCAATGTCCGTGGCTCTCCCTGGGTCTTCACCAGGCTCAGCAGCTGCTGTGAATCCCAAAGACGTGGCCAGTGGCGGCGGGCGGTGGGGGGGGCCTCCTCACCCTCAGCAGGTGGCCAGGTTTCTCCTGCCCTCCCCCTCTCTCCACCATGAAAACCTGATCTCGAGAAAGGATCTGAAGAAGTCTGCCCTCTTCTTGCGAGGCCTCTGCACGTGGCTTTGTGTAAGTCCCAGGCAGTGCGTTTTAACCCAGGCCAGAAACTTTCACGCCCAGGAAAGGTGGTCTGGTATCAGGAAGCCTCAAGGAGGACTCTGGCAGCTTCCTCCTGTCCTTCTGTGAGAGGCTGATCTTGCACATGCCTGATTCAGGTGGCGGGAAGAGGTCCCCGGGTGTCTGAGCTGCAGCTCCCAGCAGTGGGGAGCTGGAGAAGAACAGGGCTCTCAGGGGAGGGGAGCCCTGGCTGGAGCCCAGGCAGATGCAGGTGGTAAGGACGCTCACACCTTCTTCAGGCTGACGGGTGAGGAAACGCGTGAGCCAGCCCCAGACGGCGGGATCAGGGGACATCCATGCAGCTTGCGGCTCATGAAAAATAGGATGCTTTTAAGGGTGTAATGCACAATTGGTAAGCCAGGCCAGCGGCGGGCGGGCACTAGGAACGCACGTATGACCACACTGCATACTTACCCCTCGGCTCTGAGGATTTGGGGTCTGGCTGCTTTAGCCACATTCACACTTGACTTGTCCTTTCCTTTCTTCCTGTGGTTGCATTAGCTGGTGGTAAAAGCAAGCCAGTCCCCCAATTTAACGGGCTCCACTGTGGGCCGGGCACAGAGCACTGCGGAATAGTGTTCCTGCATCAGCTCTCCCCCAGAGTCAGGCTAAGAGACTCGCTTACAAACTCAGATGTCCTCACCAGGCTTCCTTTCCCCAAGCTCTTTCCACCAGTACAGCGCACCTCAGCCAAACCAGAGGAAATGCTCATTGGCACTCTTTATCAGGGTAAAAAAAAAAATGAATCATTTTAATTTTTTGCTTATGTAATTAAGAAACTAAAGAAAGCGGTAGCTTCAGGTACAGCTGGACTCAGGGTCTCGGCCCATGCCGTCAGAACGGATGCCTTCCGGGGCTCTCTCTGGATTTTCCCAGGTTTCTCTCTGGTGTGAAGCCCTGGACCGGTCCCCTTAAAGGCCGGATGGTGGCCGAGAACCCCAAAGGAAAGGACTCCTTTTTCCCTCAAATCTGACTCTCCCGGGAATTGTCCTTGCCCAGCCCTGAAGCAACCTCCACGGCCGCCAGCAGGGTTGAGCTCACAGGCTGACCCGCCCGACGGCTGGGACGCCCGACCCCGCGGAGCTGGGGGCTGGGGGCGTCTCTGACAGGGCAACCGGGCGCTGGGGAAGAAGGCTGGCTGCTGGGCCACGGGGACGGGATGACGGGGCCGCTCTGCAGCCTGCAGGCCTCAGAGCCCGTTGCCTCATGAACCCCGAACCCTGCTTTCTGCAAAGCTGGAGCTCAGGCTCGTTGTCTCCATGGCCAAGGACAAGCGGGCTCTGCTTGTGCCATGTTTGTGGAGGAAAACCTGAGAACCCCGGGGCCGGCAGCCTCCCCTCCATCCCCGCCTGCTGGGACCAGCAAAGAATTATCTGACAAGGAGGGAGCTCGTGTGGCAGGCCTTCCCCGGCTTGGGACATTGGGACAAGTTCTAACACACAGAAGAGCCTGACGGGGGCGGGGGGAGCGGGGGCGATGGGGGTCAGGAAACCATCTGAGACATCCGTCTGTCCGGAGAAGGCCTGCATTCTGGCGGGGGCCACGGGGAGGGCTTTGTGGCATTGGGCTTCGTGTCTGGCCTCCTCTGAGCACCCCCCCCCCCCACCATGGCCTTGATCCCAGCACTCTGAGAAGCCAGACTTTTGCCCTGAGTTTGCCTCTGGGGACCCCTGATTTTCTTCAGCTAGGCGCGGCGTGTGCGGAACACAGTGCAAACTCCTTTTCGGCAGGCTCTACCTGCGGAAGGGTTTTAGGCACAAAGATGTCATTGATGTATCCTTGCCTGGGGCCATCTTGGCAGGAGACAGGGCCTCCCTGGTCAGGCCAGCATCAGGAGCTCTGAGGGGACAGAAATGCCACACGTCCCTATTTAGGCTGGATCTGAAGGAACTCCTTTCCCTTGGCTGCAGGGAAGAGCAAGTGGGCTTCCTACCTTGGTTCAGAAAGGAAAGGAGTGGATTCTGCTTTGGGGAGAAAACAGCAGCGACACCCCCCAGCCTGTGGGCTCTGACCCCAGCCTGCCCTTAGCACCACACGGCCCTGGCGTGGCCCCACCATGGCCACAGGGGGTATATCCATAGGCTGGGAGAATGTTGGAGCCTGAGAGAACTCTCCAGATTGTCTGCCTCAACGCATTTGATCCTCAGCCGAGGAGCCCAGAACGCAGCAAGTGATGTGGCACCCATGGCCCGAGGGTGACAGGCTAGGATGGGAGACAGTGTCCCGAGCCTTCGGGAGCTCCCGCTTCTACCTTGGGGCTCCCTGGATCCCTCTGGAAAGTCCCCTTCCCCGAAAGCTAGAGCGGAGACAGAGAGAGGCGTCTGCTTCATCACGGGCTCAGGTCAGCACCTGTCTGCGGTGGCCTCTCCCAGCCCAAACCAGAGCCCAGCACATTCCACCGAAGGAAGAGGTGTGTTAACCTTGTATTCGCTCTGCCCCCTTGTGACTAAGCTTCTGTAAGAAGTTTCACAAGAGCTTAACAAAGGACCACTGGAGTGTGAGATGCACAGAGCATCAGAGGAGAGGGCTCTTGTACGTACAAATTCCTGAGAAGTAAAGCCTTCACACTGAGGATGAAAATCTGCCACCGGGGAGAGTCAGAATGCTCTCCTCCCACAAATGCCCTTGAGTTAGGGCCTTCAGAGGCTCGGGGACCGTCCCTGGGTGTGGGCCGCTGTCAGGACACGCTGACCCCACAGTATCTGTGTACTGCTGGGCAAATGTTCACAGAGATTGCAAACGTCACTTGCTTCAGCCTTGGGACATCACATCTGCTCAGAGAGAACCCTGTGCCCTTGGCCGTCACCCCTCCCCACTCCCAGCCTGGCCCCGTTCCAACCAACCATGAATCTGTTCTTTGCCTCTAGCTGATCCCCTTTGGAAGGTGAGGAAAGAGGTCCAGAGAAGCGCACAAATCACCCAGGGCCGTGAGGCCGGAGCCCTGGAACACAGTTCTCTCTAACTCCAGGACTCGGTTCCCCCTCGCGGCCATGGGGGCTGTTCTGAGTCAATACTTAGGCCCATTCTCCAGGGGAGGACGTTGTGAAGAATTAAAAAAGGAAGATAAGACAGCTGAAGCATTCGAAAATGAGTTTATAGGGCGCCTGGGTGGCTCAGATTGGTTAAGCATCTGACTCAGGTCATGATCTCACGGGTTCGTGAATTCGAGCCTCACATCGGGCTCCAAGCTGACAGTGCAAAGCCTGCTTGGGATTCTCTGTCTCCCTCTCTCTCTCTCTCTGCCCCTCCCTGACTTGCACTCTCTCTGTCTCTTTCAAAATAAATAAATAAACTTTACACAATAAAAATAAAATAAAATGAGTTTAGTGAGGAGACGCTTCCCGGTTAAATGCCACACCCCATTGTGTGCAGAAGGAAAGTCCAGCCTCTGAGCCAGCGTGAGGCTCCCTGGGGGGATCTCGTCCTCTGTATTCAGTGCTGGGGACCCACAGAGTGAGTCCGCACCAGCCGGGTCCTCTCCCGCAGTCCTGGGTGCTCTGAGCTCACCGCCCCGCCCCCGTGCGTTTGTGTAGACTGCACCTTCTGCTTGCAGTGCTCTGTCCTCCCAGCCTCTTTGAATCCTTGTGATCTCTCCAGACCTCTCTAGAAAGCGTCCTGCTGACTCTCCTGTCTCCTCATTCTCACATTCATTCAGCCCAGCTCTGTGTGCACCGGCCCGGGAGGGGCTACACGACTTGACCGCAGCAGAGCAGACCCTTCAGAAAGGGCTTGAGCTGCGTGTTTGCTCTTGGCTGGATGCTGCCCGCACCAACACTTCCTGCCTAGAATCTAGCTTCTGTCTTTTCTTTTATACCCTAAGACCTAGAAGAACGTAACCTCCCCCATAAACCTAGATATTCCGTAAATGCCCACAGAGCACGTGTTCCATTAAGAAAGAAAGTGACATGTTATATCTAGGTGATGAATCACTAAATTCTACTCCTGATGCCATTATTACACTATATGTTAACTAACATGAATTTGAATTTTAGAAAAAAAGAAAGAAAGTGACATGAAAAAATGCATCACCATATTGTTTACGAAACTGAATCTTCTTTCCAGCGGTCTTCGTTTTCCTGGCCATGATACTGTTCGTGGTGAACACACAATCCGATCGTCTCTCCGAAGAGCTGGCCCAGACGCTGTACCCGCTGTATCCCATGGCCACCTACAAAGGAACGACCCACAGCTATGGTTACTCGTTCTGGCTCACGCTGCTTGTCATTCTCCTAAGTGTTGTCACCACGGTGATCATTGTTTTCTACCAGAAGGCCAGACAGCAGCGGAAACAGGAGCAGAAAAAGCCGATGGAATATGCTCCAAGAGACGGAATTTTATTCTGAATTCTGCATTATGCTGTTTTGTCATTACTTCTCTCTCTTCTGTCGTATGCCAGCCCCCAAGCAGTTACTGGTTAGCTTCTCTGGACAGTCGGCATGGTTGAGGGCAGCCCTGGTTGGCTGTCACTTTGCGATAGTTTTGTATCTCATGACACTCTGTAAATGATGTACACTTGACCAGGGTTCTTCCCTCTAGGGAAGGGAAATGTCTCCACTCTATGCAGTGGTCAAAGCAGAAGAATGATTCCAAGACCATGGATACTTCCAACCCAGTCTCATTCTCTAAGAAAATAAATTTTTGTGGCACGCACCTTTACTTTAAGTAGCTCAAAGCACTTTAACACCTATGATCTCCTCCTCACGAGAGGGCAGGTATTTTTCTTCCACTGTATGAATGAAGACTTCCAGGTACAGAGGTACAGAGGGATTCAGAACTCATCTTTCCAGGACCAGGGGTTGGGACTTTGGGGTATGTGCCTTGGTCTTCAGGACCCCTAGTTGCTGACATAATTCAAAACCAGAGGCAGGTAGAAGTGCTCATACATGACCTTCAAACCCATTTTTGAGACGGCAAGGTGCAGTTTTTATATGGAAAAGGTTAGGAAGTGAGAAGATTTAAGAAAGACAAAAATGATAGCCCTACAGCCTTCGCATTAGGGAAGCTTTGATGTAAAAAGATTTGCGGTGAATGAGTCAAGATGAAAATGTCACATTGCAGCAAGTTCTGGTAACCGACCCTTTGCTGTTGACATGGTATGGTTGCTTGGATGGGAGAGTATCAGCCCTCGGCAGATTCTGGCCCAGCCAGAGGCTAATAAATGGCTTAGAGCACTGCGGCTTGCCGGCATTCCCCGAGTCGAGGCCAAGGCAGGCACAGAACACAGATGCTGCTTTGACACCTGAGAACAGGTGGATAAAATGAGTTTACAGCCTCACGAGAACACGATGGGCAACTAGAAAATTTTTGGAAAGCTTCCAAATGGATTAGACCTACTTTGCCAGCACGATACTCTTCCAGAAAATCCCTTTGAGGATCTTTTGGGCTTGAATATCCCCCTAGTCAGCCAGATTGAACACACAGGATTCTGAAATAGTAACTCTGTAACATCTTGATGGATCCAAAGCAAAACGAAACAGGAGTCCCTCAGTGGAGTTTACAAAGCAGCAGCTCTTTGGACAAAAAGGTATATCCTTTAAGAAGCCCTTAGTAATTCATGACCTTCTTGTCTACAATTTTTGCCACACTCTGTCTTAGAAGTAGCAGTTTTTCATTCAAGAAATATGAATTGAATACCGGTGATGTGATCAGTCCTGCGCCAACCCGGGTACCTGCCCCCCACAGCACTTACCGTTGAGAAGTTAAGACAGACAATCCAAAAGCAGGTGTTACATTCCACATAAGACAGGTACTTAGTCGCAAAACTGCTCATTCGCTGAAAGGTCAGTTCTCCATAACCCCCCACCCCAAAGTCAAGATTACTCTAATAAAGTAACTTGTGAAACTTTGAACGTATTGAAAACATGATTCTTGACAGTGAAAAGGTTCTAAGTTCTTTGAAGCTAAAAACATCTATGTTCTTTGAAGGTTTAATTTTATAGCAGAGTTTGATAATGCGGACAAGTAATGGAAGACAAAACAGATACAGGTAACAAATCCATGCAAATGGATTGCTAAGTAGGCAGGTGCCCCCATCCTGTGTTAGTGTGAAGGACATTATAGGATATAAAGACTGCATTTATTCATCTCAACGTTTGAGCGGAGCTTGGTTTCTTTTGGGGACAAACAATCTCAATCCTTCTATCACAGATAACCTATGAGGTAAAAGGTAATGAAGCTGAGGGTGTGGATTCTCTAGAAATCTTGTTACGGAAGAACAAAGTTTGCAGACCACTCAGACGTGGATGTAATTCGCTGTTCTAAAATTACTTAATAAATGGGCATCACATTTGTTGTAATGGAGCTACATGAAACGCTATGAAGGGCTATGGGGTTAGAATTCTATGGAATTAGAATGTTTCGTTGGTCATGAGATGATCCCCTAATTAACCCACGTGCTCCCATTACGATGAGGTAGATGACAAGGCTCACCCACATTTGAGAAAAATAAATAAATCAAGCAGAATATTGTGCTCTTCAATTTTATAAGAACACAGGGTCCACAATGATAATTTTAGGGAAAATAATACTTTACACCAATGTCAGAGTGATGAGTTGTTTGCAAAGCACGACGGGGGGGTGTGGGGGGTGTATAACCTCCAGGTAAGCTTTGCTATCATTATTATAATTTTATTCGACATCTCAACAAACCCTGTGGATTAAGCAGGGCGGGAAAAATCGTCTCCTTGGATGTGACGTTTTCCAGGGTCTACACAGTGTTCTTACAGCCAGCCCCACACGGCCACGCAACATCGGGAGTCCCGTAAGTGACACGCGGCCGGAAGGGTAGATGTAGCAGCAGCCCTCTGCCTTCTGAGGCTGCTTGGCCTCCGGGAGGCCCTGGGAGCCTGCAGATTCTAGAAAGGACAGGCAGGCACCGAGCCCATGTCCTGAGCAAGCGGGCCCGCCTGCACCTGGCCTGTCTTCCTCGTCACTGAAACCTGCCACAGAAAGGGGACAGGCAGCCAGCGTCTCAGCTGCCCGATTGGGTGTCTATCTGCACGAAGCGTGGCATGTGTGGGAGAGGACGGTGCCCAGGTAGGAGCCTTTCCGGTTCTGAAACGGCAGCGCAGACACCTGTCCTTGGTCTAGGAGTCACCCTCGGGACGCACGCCTGACCCCGGACCCCAGAGCTCCCTGGGGCCTTGGACAGGCAACCCTTCAGTCAGCGTGAGCGGCGGATCCCCCAGCGACAGCCCTGTTCCCCGTCCTCACCCCCAAATACCCCCTCGCCCAGTAGGCGGAGACCCAGTTGGAGGCCCCATGTGTAAACTGCTCTGGCATCTCATGGCTGGCCCGGTGATGGTCCCTTCTGAGCTTCCATTTCCTCATGACTCAAAAATAAAATAATAAGTAACAGACACGGCAATTGGTGTAGGATTGAGCTAGGAGGTTCTGGCGTCAGGCTGCCTGGGGGTGGAGAAGTTACTTAATCTCAGGGAGCCTCATTCTAATCATCTGTGAAATGGGACGACAATACACAGGATCTGCTCTCAGGGTTGTGGGAAGGAGCCCTGACAAGGTGTGCCATCCTTCCTTGCAGAAACTTCGGTGTGTAAAAACTGTAATAAAAACCAAAGGTGAGATCATGGGCCACTGCCAGCCACATCAATCCTTTCACTTTATAAATGGGCAAGGAACACACATCTTAGACCCAGGAGGTTAATGAACTTGGCCAAGCATCCAAAGCTGGCAAATGGCAAAGGAGAAGTCAAAGCAGCACTCAGACGCTGGTTCTTGTTTTATCTGTTTCTGACTCAGTTCCATAAACGCTGCTTGCATGAGGCTGGGAAGGGGGGTGGGGAGGACAGAGATAAACGTTCTAAAGGAACTGGTGCCACAGAAAGTGTGGCCTTCTGGGTGTGCCTGTCACCTTTCACCGCACGGGTGAGGCTCATAGCGGGTCTTGTCCACTCAGAACACACAAGAGCAGCTTGCTCGAGCAACGGCACCCAGTTTGTTTCACAGAAAACCTTCAGCCCGGCTGGGTGCTGACCTGAGCTGGAGAGGGTGGGGTCTCGGTGACAGGACCCGCCCATACACGCCCAGAGAAGGTGGCACATCCTGTGACCTAGGGACTTTGTGCTCCTTAAAATAGAAAGAAGGCCGGGTTACTCACAGTGACCTGGTTCACTGGCTTACTAAGGCTGCTCTCAAGCAGGAACTGAGGTCCAAGTGATGTCTGACACATTACCTGTCGGCCCGAGTGGGTGGCCCCCAAGGATGCTAAGATTCTGCTCCTCTTCCTTCCTCACGCTCTTCCCGCGGGGTGTCCTCACTCTGCCCAGAGGCCACCAGAGCTTCGGACAACCACCTAATTATTTCCACAATGCGTCTGTGTTTGTGTCAGGCTTCAGGCCATGAAGGTTTTATTTTCAAAATGTTAAATTGTTTAGTAAAAAATGAGACATTGAGATAGAAGTCCATTGTATATTAGTACTATTCCTTTTGAACAAATTACTTTGCAAACGAACGCTCCTCCTAATTCTCACCTCACTCTTGACCAAGAGGGTTAGACTTTTTTTTTCAATGTTTACTTATTTTGAGAAAGAGAGAGAGAGACAGAGCACAAGCCTAGAAGGGGCAGAGAGAGAGGGAGACCCAGAATCCGAAGCAGGCTCCAGGCTCTGAGCTGTCTGCACAGAGCCCGACGTGGGGCTCAAACTCAAGGACCCTTTGTGAAACACTCTGCTCATCTGATTATGTGGAAGCATGCTGCCTCAACAAAATGTTCAGCTCATAAATCACTCTTCCAGAAGGAGGAGTTTCTGCTTTTCTGGTTCCAGGCACAGCGATGGTGTCTGGGTTGTGGTCCCTGTGGCTTTGTCAAGCACAGTGGCCACAGGTAATATTACTGTCGCTCAGTGTGTCATCCCCTAAGCGCTCTCTCTGCAGGAGGCTTCACTGGATCTTTATGCAAGAGTCTGGGTTGGCTTATAATTAATCCCACGTTTTAGGCAAATGACTGAAGCCTACATTGGTTAGGTGGTGTGCCCACCATGCCCCGCAAGGAAGAGGCTGAGCAGACATTCCATCCCAGACCATCAGCCCAGGTGTCCTGAGAGGTACAGACTGGGCACCCAACGGTGACACCATGCATGCATATTAAAGGGTTGGAAAAGTCTCAAGTGCAAATCCAAGCATTAGACCTTGGCCTCCACTGGGCGTCCCCCAGGCATGTGGCCTTTGGGGTTAATTGAGTTTGCTAGATTCTCAAAGTGTCTAATTGGGTAATCATTCACCTTTTGATTAAGAATTTAACTATTTTCACTACACACCGTGTGTTATCTTTATGTACTTAAGATAAGACTAACCTCTTGTTGATGGCCCTATCACAGTGGTGAGC